TATGTGGGTTAGGGCCAAATCCTCTCCCCTGCTTTTCTTTTTCAAAGTGTTCTTGGCTATTTTGAACTTCAATTGTTTAAGAAAAAAAAGATAAAACAAAAAACCTGTTGTTACCTGTCTGAACCACACGTTCATCGCAGCTTTATTTACAATAGCCAAAATATGGAACCAAGCTAAATGTCCATCGACAACCTAAGTGTCCATCAACGGACAACTGGATAAGGAAAGCGTTGTATATATGCACAATGGAATACTACTCAGCCATAAAAAGAAAAGTGATATTCTGCCGTTTGCAGCAACATGGATGAGTCTGGAGAAAATTAGGTTAAGTGAAATAAGCCAGACACAAAAAGAGAAATACTACTTGTTTTCATTCATAACTGAGTGCTAAGAAAGAAGGAAAGAAAGATAGATAAGAAAGAAAGAAAGAAAAAGGAAGGAAGAAAGAGAAAGAGAAAAAGAAAAAGACCACAATAATACGTTGAACTTTCAGAAGGAGAGAATAAACCTAAGGATACTAGAGATGGGGGGAGGACAGGAGGAGGGTTGGGGAGTTATAGGTCGGGTGGAGGGCATGGGGAAAGATTACGATTTGTAATGATGAATATGCTAATAATAACTTTTAAAAAGAAAAAAGATAAAACAAAAAACCTGCTATTATGTGTCTGAGCTACACCTTGCAGTAATCTGAAAGGACACAGGAGGGCAGGCATCCCTAAAAGAGACTGTGACTAGCTCCACACTCCTGGTCCCTCAGGATTGGCTCTTTCGCACCCCTTGGGTGGAGGGGACCATCCACGCTGGAGGCAAAGGTAACTGGCTACAGAGGCCTGGGGACCTCCTGGACCAGCATGTGGAGGTAGCTGGAGTTGGTGGATGTTTAAATCAGTATTCATTCATTCATTCCATAAGTAAGTACTGAGTAAACACCATGTGCCAAGCACTGTTCTAGACCCTGGACAGAGGACACAACAGACACAACCTCCACCACCACCATCAGCAGCAGCAGCAGCAGCAGCAACAGCATGGAATTCATGTTCTATTGGGAAAACTGACAATAAACAAGATAAACAAACTAACCTATCAGTTAATGCCAAACACTAAGAAGAAAGCAAACTAGGATGGGGGTAGGAAGCTTCAGGAATGGGGGAATGGGGGAATGGGTGGGAATATTGGAGTGAGCAGGACTGAAGCCATGTTGGGATCTAGAACCACATGGGCTGTAGGCAAATTTTAAAAGGACAGTTTTCTTCTTGGCATGCATTTTTCTGAGTTCCCTCTTTTCCCACAGTTATTTGATATTTTGAACCTTGGTTATAGGGCAAGATGACATTATTTGTAAATAATGTAAAGTTAAATGTAAAGTTGCTTTCCAGCCTTCCTGAAGCTGCAAACTCTCAACAAGGCATGTACTATCCAGCAGGACCCTAAGGACGGGAGCAGAAACCAGATGGCGTCTTGGCGAGACTTTGCACCTGAGACTTTGCATGAAGCCCTCGCTGCTCACATTCCCCTTGCTCCTGCTTTTCATTTCCCATGTTCCATTCCCTAGCCCCCTCTTTAAAAACCCCTCAGTAAATCTGAGTCTTTGAGATGACTTTAGTCTGGCCACTCTCCTTCAGGTTTACCAGAAAGATGGGTGAGCCCAACACCTCTCCTCAGGTCACCGGTATTCTTCAATAAAAGCTGACTTCCATTTTCACCAACATTTGACTTTGAGTGGTTTGTTTTTAAAAGGGGGCAGGCAGCTGGACCCGCACCCTGTGAAAGGAGTGTCTGCTCTTTTTTTTTTTTTAAAAGACGATCGGTAAGGGGATCTTAACCCTTGACTTGGTGTTGTCAGCACCACACTCTCCCGAGTGAGCCACAGGCCGGCCCAGAAGTATCTGCTCTTTTGAAGGATGAGCAGAGGACACCTCTGACGAAGAGACACTGGGGATGGGGACTGCGTTCACTATTGGGATCAGCCCTCACTCATCAGTCTCAACTGGGGCAGGAAGAGCACATGGTTCCCCCTATGAAGTAGTTCATTGTTACAGAATGGTCAGTTAAGAAGCAAAACCCGGGCCGGCCCGGTGGCGCACTCTGTAGAGTGCGGCGCCTGAGAGCGTGGCGGGAGCCGCCGAGGGTTCGGATCCCATATAGAGACCGGTCCGCTCACTGGTTGAGCGCGGTGCGGGCGTGACACCGAGGGTTGCGATCCTGTTACCGGTCACGAAAAAAGACAAAAAGAAAAAAAAAAAAAAAGCATAACCCAATGAATTTAAGTATTTTATAAGATATATCACAAAGGGGAGGAGTATTCAATAAGAGGTGTTGAAATAAAAACTAGTTAGTAATTTTGAGAGAAAACTACACATTGATTCCTATTTGATTCCATGGATAAAACGATTGATTTTTAAAAACCAATTTATGGAAAAATTAGAAGAAAGCAAATCTTTTTTTTTTTTTTTTTTTTTTTTTTTTTTTTTTTTTCCTCGCTCAGCCAGTGAGCGGGAACCGGTCTGTATATGGGATCCGAACCCTCGGGCGGGAGCGCTGCCGCGCTTCCCAAGCGGCGCACCATCCAGTGCGCCACCGGGCCGGCCCAGCAAATCATTTTTAAATTGTGCAAGAGATTCTTTTTCCAAGCATAGAAACAATATGAGGAATAATAAAGAAAAAGATAATCAGATTTGGTTTCTTTGGGGGTAAAAACCACAGCAAGAAAGAGAAGTGAGGGCCTTCACTTTTTCTGAATGTGTCTTTTGACACTGTTACTACCAGCAGGTTACTTTTGATATTAAAAACAATGCAGGGGCCGGCCTGTGGCTCACTCGGGAGAGTGCGGTGCTGATAACACCAAGGCCACGGGTTCGGATCCCATATAGGGATGGCCGGTTGCTCACTGGGTGAGCGTGGTGCTGACAACACCAAGTCAAGGGTTAAGATCCCCTTACCGGTCATCTTTTAAAGAAAAAAAAAATGCAAATATAACAAATGAAAATAATATAAATAAATAAATAGGTGGCAAAACCAGCCAAAATGAAAAAAAAAAAAAAAAAAACAATGTACTGGGAAGAAATCTTGGCTTGTCAACATAGAAGACTACTTAACTAAAATTCAAAATTTTGTGTCCCAAATACCTTTGATTACATAAAAATTTACATTTTCAGTGTGTCAAAAAAATTGTAAGAGCAAACAACACATATGATGATGGAAGGGTAATGACCTCACAGAAATTGCTTTAAAAAAAAACTCCACCAATATAGACAAAGGATCTGAAGAAATAATTCACAACAGAAGAATTTAAGCTAGAAGAGTTAGTGGGAAAGGGTCATTAATAATCAAAAACATTCGAAGTAAAACAAGAATAAGGAATCATGTAACTACACGATTTACAAAAATATCAATACCTGATATTGGTGAAAGGTCATTCATTGGGGGGTCTGACCTTTCTGGAAAGCAATTTGACAACTTACATGGAGAATCATAAAAATGTTTTTATCACCTGACCCACAAATCCTGTTTGAGGAATCCAAGTATAATGCAAAAGAAATAAAAAGTTAGATGCCATAGAGATGTTTCTGCAATCATTATTTATAGTGGAAAAGTCAGGACCAACTTAAATATCCAGCAGTTGGAGAGCTGCTAAGTAAAGTGTGATGGGGTCAGTGGACCACAACTGGCATTGAACATGGGTAACAGAAAAACTGCATAGCAACATTTGATACCTGGGCTGGGTAGATTTCACCAGACTGGAGTCGGGATTCTGGTGTCTTGATGGACAAAAACAAGTAAGTGTCCCCCGCTTTCCAAAATTCTGCCTTAGAGTGAACTCTTTCTAGCTGGAGGTGCTACTATACATCTGGGAAAAACTGGGAGGGAGTAAAGAAAAGTCATTGCTTTAGTAGGAATTGGGGATTAGGAACACCTTTTTTCTCTATATTTTGATGAATTGTGTTATATTCTTTTTACAATAATTTTAAATATTGTAGTTATTTCCGCGATAAGCAATTACCCTGTACTGGCCAGCCACCATAAAAAAAGAAAGAAGGAAAGAAGGAAGGAAGGAAGGAAGGAAGGAAGGAAAGAAATGATCCCTTTCTAATTTAAACATAGATGTCTATCATCTAGTGACATCATAGCTGTCATAATGTTGTAGTGCAATTACTATATTTAAAAAATAAATTGAGTGTAGCCTGAGTGTACAGTGTTTAGAAAGTCTACAGTGTGCACAATAGTGTCCTAAACCTTCACCTTCACTCACCGCTCACTCACTCACTTACTCAGAGCAGCTTCTAGTCCTGCAAGCTCCAGTCATGGTAAGTGCTCTATACAGGGGAACCATTATTTTTTATACTGTATTTTTACAGCACCTTTTCTATGTTTAGATATGTTTAGATACACAAATGCATAGCATTGTGTAGTACTTGCCTACAATACTCAATACAGTAACATGCTATACAGGTTTGTAGCCTGGGAGCATATAGCCTAGGTGTGTAGTAGCTATCCCACCTAGGTTTGTGTAAGTACACTCTATGATGTTTGTACAATGACAAAACCGCCAAAGACACATGACTGTAATAGTACCTATAGATAGGAAACAGAGGCCTAGGGAGGTCAAAGCTGATTGCCCAAGGTTATTCAATTTGTAAATGGTAGTGCCAGGGCTCAAAGCCAGGTTGTCTAATGCCAAATGTATCGTTTAACAGGAAAAAAATGAACTAAGATTAGTAATGTAAAAAATTATTACAAAGACCCAATGCATAAACGAGCAGAGAACACAAGCAGATAATTCAGTTAGGAGGAACTGCAGGCCTAGAACTGCAGGCCTGGTTTCTAATCTTGTTCCAGCTAGAACTTTATTTGACTCTCCTAAGTGCTGACAGCTCCCCTGGTCCTGGCCCCCACCCCAACCCCAAAGGCCTGTAGTGCGTTTCTCCCTGCTGGGCTTCATCAATGTGGTCATGGAAGACTTTGCAAAGGTGACCCCCTCCAGTCCAGGCCCCCACACTTACATGATCGGCCACATTGGTGCAGCCTCCTGCGTGGATGAGGGCCCGGGACACGTCCTCAGAGCCGCCGAGGGCCGCGTAGTGGAGGCAGCTCATCTTTTTCTAGGGGAAATAGGCATCAATGCAATGTCACAAGGACCCCTCCTAGCGGCTTTACAAAGCACTTAGGGATTCATTATTCCATTTGAGTCTCACAACACCTCTGGGATTATTATCCCCATTAAACCCTGAGGCTGGAGAAAATGACTTGTCCAGACCAGGAGACTAATAAAAATAACTCACTATGGTCTCAGCCTTTACTGCACCTCATATCACAAACTCCAGAAGGTTGACCAAAGCCTGACAAATTGCTTGGCTTGTAAACTCACACAGATTATAGACCCCGAAGAGGTGGTTTTCCAAGCAGGAGTCTGGCAGGGCCAGAATGGTGGGCTTGATCTCAGTGGGCCTGCTACGCACTCTCCTTCAGCCAAAGCCCACCCCAGCCCGATAATCATCTTGCACAGGATCCACACCAAGCAGGCCCCACTAGGTGAACTACTGTCCCAGTCTGCCCAGGGCTAAGGAGTCCCTGTGACATGGGACTTGCAGTTTTAAAATCAGGACAGTATAGGGCAATCCAGGACAAAACGGCCACCCTACCAAAGTCCCAACTCAGTGAGTGCATTGGGTAGGTGGGCTCAGTCCACCTCCCAATGGGAAATGCAGTCACTTTGGGTGTGCCCCCTCCTCAGAGACCCTACTGCATGGTAGGACAGGGGTGGGAGTGTTTAAATGGAATGTGGCCTCTGCCAGAAACCTCGAGCCAAGGCTAGAGAGAGCCCAGGGCCCAAGGCCCAGTGCAGTGGGCAACTCCAACCCCACCGGTGGCTGGACTCGACCTCCCGAGTCTCTGAATTCCTACCTCTGTGACTATGAGGAAGGTGACCATGTCATTTTGCTTCTCCCCTCTCCCCCACCCCAGGACCTAGTACTGTGCTAGGCATAGAGAAAGGGCCTTGCTGACCAAAGAGCGACATCATGCCAATGCAAGGGCATTAGTTGGGTCCCCCTCTCTTTGGGCCTTTGTGTCCCTTTACCCACCCTCCTGAGGTGGTAATTCCCACACCCTCCAGGGGAGTTGTTCAAAGTAAGTGTTTGGTGACTATAAAGCATTATTCACATTTAGGGGAGCTTAACAGTGATATTATTGAATTTACATTTGCCATTTTGCTATTTATTTATTTATTTTTTTTTATTTTTCAAAGATGACCAGTAAAGGGATCCTAACCCTTGACTTGGTGTCATCAGCACCACGCTCTCCCAAGTGAGCCACGGGCCGGCCCTTTATTTTCTAAATGTCTTTTTTGTTCTTCTGTTTCTCGTTGACTGCCTTCTTTTGTGCTAACTTTGTTTTTACTTTTTCTTGTCTTCATTTTATGCCAAATTTACTCCCAGGCCATACATTTCTGTTTCTTTCACTTTTTTCTGGGAGAGCTTTTATTTCTGTACAAGCTCCTCTTCCGGGTGAGGTACAGTTTGTTCCTTTGCAGGAAGACTCACCTCATCGGCCGGGGCGCTCACGTGTGCGTTCATCTAACTGTGAGCCCTGCAAGTGCGGTGGCGCGTCCTGGGTGCTTTGTTCCCCTGGATGTGATCAACGGCCAGAGAGTCTGCATCTAAACCCCTAAGTTCATCGTTACTCTCTGCATTTTTAAGCAGGTGCAGCAAAAATTCAGCACTCTTTTTGGGCCACCAACCCGTGTGTGGTCCCACTGTTTGGCCTGGACACCCCTACCAACTCCACTGGGGTAGGGAGGGAATGGCACACGTTGCTTCAGTAAGGTGACATCTTTCAGATACTTAGGGGCTTTTCAGATATGCCCACCCTTGATGGCCTGGGCAGTTTTGTGGATGTTCTTACAGCAAACACAAAGATTTTGACATTCTGTTTTGCATGATTTTCTTGGGGTTTCTGGGTCAAGTGAACATTGAACCATTTTCAGGCATCACCTCAGGCCACTTCTGGGAAGAGGAAGAGCGGTGGCTGCTGGGAGAATGCACGAGACCTCGACCTCTCCCCAGAGTCCCAGCCAAAGCTAGCTACATGCTCTTTAGTGTACCCTTGTAATTCCTCTGTTTTTAACTATGTTTTTGCTATTATTTATATTTTATTATTTATTATTAATATTTTTCTATACTATTGACATTTAGAGCAAACAGAGAATTCCAGACCCTGATGCCATTCAACCAGCCAAGATAGATTATTTATCACTGATTTAAAAATAAAAAGCACCAACTTCCCACCTAAAGAAAGGCTACAGCCCTCCTTTCCAGGTCCCAGAGGAGAATTTCTACCAGCAGCACTGAGGAGTATAATAGTGAGGGAGGGAAGAGGCCTGTCCCAGGGTCACAGCCCAGGCCCCAGCTCCTTGGGCTGCTGTGGTCACGGCACAGGTGGGCCTCCATGTCAGGGACACCCCCATCAGTGGGCAGGAGCTCTGGAGCCAGGGGAACAGGCTCTGGGGGCTCAGCTTTGCTTCTTTCCAGCTTGTGACCCCAAGAAAGTCCTCTCTAAGCTTCAGCTTTCTCATCTGTAAAATGGATGAAATTTTCCTGAGGTAGTAGTAATAAAGGGGCTTTGTGACCTATCGGGAGCCCAACAGTGAGAGGACTCTGACAGGTGCGGAGCCCCTATGGTGTCCCGGGCACTGTGCTAGTTAGTCCTCACAGCGATGGTAAACAGTAGGTATATATCGTCTCATTTTATAGTTGGGAAACAAGTCTCAGAGAGGTTAAGTCACGTGCCCGAGGTCAAAGGACGCAGCAGTGGAAAAGTCAAGATCAGAATGGGCCTGCTGCCTCCAAGCCACTATTCACACATTGTTTAGGAATTGGTGGCCGTCACCACTGACCCGGTTTCAGCGCATCAGCAGAGGGCAGACCTCAGTCCTGGGGGGTCTGGCTACCTGGGTGAGGGCATTCACGCTGCTCCCAGCCCTGAGGAGCAGCTGCACACAGTCGGGGTGGGTCCCTTCAGCAGCCGCATGCAGGGCAGTCAGACCTTCCTGAAACACATGAGCACAGGCATGAGGGCAGCAGGGAGGCTGACCCAGGTGACCCAAGGCCCTGCGGTGGAGGCCTCCCTTGTGGCATGGCTCTAGGGCTCTCTGAGCTCTCCACCGTCCTGCTCCTGGGGACAATGAGCTTGGTTACTTGTGGTCCCCTGAGTGCCGCCCCTGGTGTTCTCACTTTGTGGAGCACGTACGTGGTACGTGCACTCCCTGCTCCACATCTCTGCTCGTGTTCTCTTCCCCTTCAAGCCGCCGCCACCCCTGCTGTCCGTCTATTCCCTCTTACTCCAGGAAGCCGTCCTGGACCACCCCGGCCATGGTGACTTCTCCCTTCTTTGAACAACACGATGTGTGTCACTCCTTGGTAATCAATCCATCACGCCTAGCACCCCCACCCACCACCCCCACGCTGCTGCTTCTCCTTTCCCGGTGGACTGTCAGTCTGTCCGAGAACATGCCCTCAGCTTCCTGGCTTCAGGTCCTCTACCAGGGGAAAGTCAGACTGCACCATGAGCCAGCCCATGGGAGGTCCGCGAAGGCAGGGAGCAGGCAACTATCATGCCTCTCTGCATCCCCCAAGCAGTGACTCACAGCATTCTGCTCCTCCAGGTCCAGCCTGATGTCCACAAGTCGCTGCAGCACCGCCACATGACCCCGGCCAGCAGCCAAATGAAGGGCCGTGTTCCCCTCCTGCAGGACGAAGGGCTCCTAAGGGGCCGGCAGAGCACAGAGCCCCAGAATCACAGACCCAGAGACCCACTAGAGACACTCTTCGTTTTACAGACACGGAAGCTGAGGCCCAGAGAGGGGAACTGACACGCCCAGGGTCTCAGAGGACATCTGTGATGAGCTGCAGCCCTGCATGCTGGCGAATACCACCTTGTCCCTGAGAACTGTGCCAAAACTGCCACCAGGAGCACTTACGAGGGCCAAGTCCTGGTCTCTCTTTCCTTATACAGTCCTGTGTCTCTCAACAATGTGGATGTGGTCTGAGAAATGCATCATTAGGCACTTTCATCATTGTGAGAACATCACAGAGTACACTTACACAACCCAGATGGTATAGCCTACTGCACACCTAGGCTACATGGGACAGCCATTATAATCTTACGGGACCACCGTCACATACGTGGTCCCTCATTGACCGAAACATCATAATGCAGCTCATGACTGTACTTCAAGGCATTCACATTTCACATTAATCAGACTACTTTGAACCAAAGGTAGTTCTTAAAGTAGTTCTTAAAATAGCTAAAAACATACCCCTGTGATGATAAATCTACACATATATTAAACAGCCATAGCTATCTTATGGATCAAAGATGAAACATTTAAATTTCCTTTATGGGGCCGGCCCATGACTCACTTGGGAGACTGTGGTGCTGATAACACCAAGGCCACGGGTTCAGATCCCATATAGGGATGGCCGGTTTGCTCACTGGCTGAGCGAGGTGCTGACAGCACCAAGTCAAGGGTTAAGATCCCCTTACCGGTCATCTTTAAAAAATAAATAAATAAATAAATTTTCTTTATGATCATCATAATATTATATGAATAAATAATAGTTAAGTTTAAGTTTTCTCGCGCTGCAGACAGGCACACAGCAGCCGAACAGGCAAGGATAAGCTGTGGGAAATGCAGCCACAGCGTGAAGTCTTTGTGTTCAAAGAGACACAAAGGAAGTGGTGGACTGTGAGGGACTGACCCGTGCCCCAGTTAGCAGGGTGTGGAGACAGTTGCGGGGCTTTCTTCTTCCTTCTGGGTTATGAATATCCATCTCCTGCCTTTGAAGTTGCAGGTGGCATACACAGACATCTAACAGGACAGTCACACTTCCCTGAGGCAGAGCAGGGGGCTCAGAAGCAGGACAGCTGGGTAGAAAGTAGCTTTGGCCTTGGGCCCGGTGCCCTCTCTGCTCCACCTGTGGGGATGCTCTGTGAAGCTCTGACAGCAACACCTGCCACCCTAAGTGGAATTAATCACTCTCTCTGGGCTCTCAAAGCCTCCTAGCATCACAGCCCTTGTGACGTGACCTGTGTCACCATTGGCTCTGACAGGTCTATCCCCCTTAGCAGCACACAGGCATCTAGCAGGAGTCAGACTTCCACTGGCCCGAAGCCTTGAAAAACTTACTGTGCCCACTCTCCGAATGAAAGTCAAAATGAAAACACTTCTAATCTGAAGACACAAATCAGTGATATGCAATTTTAAAAACTTCTTTAGAATTTCTGATTTCAAGATTCTGGGTAGGGCTGGCCGGTTAGTTCAGTTGGTTAGAGCACTGCCTTGTAACACCAAGGTTAAGGGTTTGGATCCCCATGCCAGCCAGCTGCCAAAAAAAAAAAAAAAAAAAAAACTCTGGGTAGATTCATCAAAACTGGATTTTCCCCTTCTCTGCATTTGGTGCTCCTGCTCTCCTGGGGTCCTGAGGTATGGTCACCTTTGCCTCTTGGGTAAGCCTATTCTGGTGGAGCTCTCCTTTCCCCTTTCTGTACTCCCAGTTCCTGGTCCCGTGCCTGGCACAGAGCAGGACCTGCTCAGCCCATGTTTCCAGAATGAAGACAACCAGCCTGATTTGAGACCCAGGCTCCAGACTCAGCCTTTTCATGCCTCAAGGATGAGTGTGGATGAGTTCAGTACAGACGCCCAAAGGGGGTCAGTGCCCCAGGCAGCGTGGTGAAGGGGAGCAGAGGGTTACGCATCAGGGTGCTGGTTCCAAACCCAGCTCTACCATGTCTCACTTTGTGACCTTGGCTAAAGTATCCCTCTCTCTGGGCTTCAGTTTCCATATCTGAAAATGAGATGGCTGAACATGCCCTTGAAGACACCTTCCAGTTTGATGATCTTGTGGCACCTTGTCTGTGAGCTCTCTGTCATTACCTTATACACAGAGCTCCCTCTGTCCTGGCCAAGCACATTAATCAGAAGATTAATAATGGAGTTCATCTTTGTTGGAAGCATCATTTACAATTTGCTGCAATATATTTTGCCTAATGATTCACAGTAGCCCATTGATAGGAGTCATTTGCAGGGTACTCCCCTTGGGCCCCCAGCCCTCACCCCTTTTCAGATTGGTGAAATCCTGCTTGTAAGATCTCCAGTCCGAATGGCCTGCTTCTGCCATGTTGCTCCCATTCTACTTTTGCCATAATCATAGTACAGCACTAAATCACAAAGAAGCCCAAGAACCAGCAGGTGTGTGGCTACCATCCCCCTCCCTCTCCCCACACCCCCAACAACAGACACCCCCAGTGGAAACAATCCTGCTCAAACCACTCCAGGCAGCACTACCAGCCAATCAGACCTGCAATCCTGGCTCCCGCCAGCAGGTCACAGTTCTTTCCTAGGATTGTGGCATGGATTTCCTTGAGTAAGAAACTGTGTCTTGGGCATCTTTGTGCCCCTAACCCATAGCACAGGGCTGGCCCATAGCGTGTGCTATAAAATGCCTGCTAGATAAACATCTGACACACTCTGGTCTTTGGGCCACCTGCCGCTCCAGCACAGCTGGAGTCACAGTAGGCACAGGTAAGGTGCCAGAGCCCAGTAGGTGGCAGGGCTTCTGCACCCTGGCCAGGACCCCAGAGCCTTACGGTCACCGTACCTTGTCTTTGACACTGTGGTCACAGCCAGAGCCTACGAGGAAGTCCAAAGCATCCAGCTGTCCGTGCTCAGCTGCCCTGAGAAATGCCGTCCTTCCCAGCTGGCAGGGAGGAGAAAGAGAGTGAAAATGCACACACTGTAAGTGGGTACACCTGCCCTGCCTGCCTGCCTGCCTCCCTGCCTCGTCTCTGTTTCCCCTACCACTCTGGGTTCGTGGTGGCCTCTCCTGCCCCAGACACTCTCTCCTCCCCTTACCCCTGACATCCTATCTGGAAAGCCTAGACCCAGCTTCCCAAAAAGAGCCACTTGGTGGGGTCCCTTCTCTGCTGAAATCCTTAGGTGGATCCCTGCTGCCTATTGAATAAAGGACAGATTCCTGAGGCTGGGGGTCCAGATCTCCACCCCCTGGCCTTCCCTTCCAGGATTCCAGTTCATCAGAACTCACACACAAAGGGCCCTTTCCCACCTCTAAAGCCCTAGCGATGCTCTCTCTTCCGTTTGGCTCCTCCCCCAACCCCCGCTTTCCAATCTTGCCCACAAATCCACTTCACTCACCGAGTACCACCTCCTCCAGGAAGCAGAAAACAGTGGCTCCCTTCTCTACCCTGTCTAGGTCTGATCAGGGACTCTCCGAGGCAACTGACCATGTTCTGCTTGTATGCTGCTCATTTGTACCCTAACGCCTCTTCCAGACCATCAGCTCCTCTGCCCATAGCTTGAAGGATACACCCAAGGAATGTGGTGAGCCCAGTAGGCAAGAGCACCCCAGAATCCCCAGGCCCAATGGGAAAGATGAATAGCCTTGAAGTGGCTCTCACCTGGTCCACGTGGTCCAGGGCCACATCCTCCAGGTCCTCCATTATGAACGCCAGCACTGGCACGTGGCCTTTTTGGGCTGCGCAGTGCAGTAATGTCAGGCCGTCCTGGAAACAAGCCCAGGGTGGTCCCTGCAGTCTGCGAAGGGAGGCCCTTCTCACACACTGCCTGGCGTGTTTGGGACCCAGAACACAGCTTCCCAGGGAAACAACACTGTAAATGATGATTGGGCCCCTGGGATAACCCACTCTGATGCCTACTCAGCCTCAGAGGGGCTGGTGGGAGTCAGGATGTCAGAATTCACAATTCATCTCTGGCATTCCTCAGCTCTGTGGTCTCGGGCTGGTTACCTCCACCTCTCTGAGTCTCCATTTATGCATAGATCAAATTAGGATAATAATCCCTGGCTACGTCAGTGGGTGGTTGAGAGGACTGGATGGCATCACCTACAGGAAAGTATTTTATAAACTAAAACCTCCATTTATGCATAGATCAAATTAGGATAATAATCCCTGGCTACCTCAGTGGGTGGTTGAGAGGACTGGATGGCATCACCTACAGGAAAGTATTTTATAAACTAAAAAATGATTCAAAACTGTAAGTTGAGGTCATACGACAATAGCAGTCCTCAGAACATCCACACAGATCAGTTAAGAAAGTTCTAGGCAATTGCCTTCCCTGATACAGCTGCAAATGAAGAAGCAGGCAACTAAGTGCCCAGTGTATGTCACTAGGAGGCGACCTCCTCACCTTGCAGGGAAGACTGACAGCATGTGTAGTCTGCAGAGACTAAAGGGAAGTGGCCTGGGTTAGGGGGTGTGGGGGAGGCAGGAAGAAGGTCTCTTGAGCCTAGAAACAATATTTAAATGAGGGAGGCTTGCAAGTCCTGTTTGTGACCCAGAGCTTCTATCCCTGCCTTGCATTGAGGTCAGATTATCTGGAACACTATTTTTCAAATAGTAGATTGCAACCCATCAATGGGTCATAAAAATCAATAGAACATAGTCACCACTGCAGAGCGGAGCCAAGCAGATCTGCTGGAGGAGCACAGTTACCGGACGGGCTAGGTCTACGGTTACTCTACTTTTTTTTATCAGGGCAAGCTGCGTTCCATGGCAGGGAACTTTTGGCAGAGCTCCTGCTATTTGCAATGGATTTTAAATAAAACAAGATCTGTTGAAGGAGCAACAAGAGGACTCAAAGCTTCTCTCAGAAGAAGAGTATTGGAAATTACAAATATTTTTTACAAATGTTATTCAGGCATTAGATGAACATCTTAAATCAAGACAAGTTATTGCCACTGCTACAGTCTATTTCAAGAGATTCTACGCCAGATATTCTCTGAAAAGTGCAGATCCTGTATTTATGGCTCCTATATGCGTGTTTTGGGCATCCAAAGTAGAAGAATTTGGAGTAGTCTCAAGTACAAGACTGATTTCTGCTGCCACTTCTATATTAAAAACTAGATTTTCATATGCCTTTCCAAAGGAATTTCCTTATAAGATGGATCATATAGTAGAATGTGAATTTTCTCTTTTAGGACTAGTGGATTGTTGCTTGATAGTGTATCATCCTTACAGATCTTTGCTCCAGTGTGTGCAGGACATGGGCCAAGAAGAAATGTTGTTTCCCTTTGAATGGAGGACAGTGAATGATCCCTGCAGTATGGATCTTTGCCTGCTGTATCCTCCTTTCATGACAGCTTTAGCTGGCCTACATGCAGCCTGTGTCGTACAGCAGAAAGATGCCAGACAGTGGTTTGAGCTTTCTGTGCATATGGAAAAGATCTGGGAAATAATCAGGGTTATTTTCAAACTATAGGAGCAGTGGAAGAATTTTGATAAGAGAAAAGAGATGGCAACTACTTTTATTACATGCGTGTTTTGGGCATCCAAAGTAGAAGAATTTGGAGTAGTCTCAAGTACAAGACTGATTTCTGCTGCCACTTCTGTATTAAAAACTAGATTTTCATATGCCTTTCCAAAGGAATTTCCTTATAAGATGAATCATATAGTAGAATGTGAATTTTCTCTTTTAGGACTAGTGGATTGTTGCTTGATAGTGTATCATCCTTATAGACATTTGCTCCAGTGTGTGCAGGACATGGGCCAAGAAGACATGTTGTTTCCCTTTGAATGGAGGACAGTGAATGATCCCTGCAGTATGGATCTTTGCCTGCTGTATCCTCCTTTCATGACAGCTGTAGCTGGCCTACATGCAGCCTGTGTCGTACAGCAGAAAGATGCCAGACAGTGGTTTGAGCTTTCTGTGGATATGGAAAAGATCTGGGAAATAATCAGGGTTATTTCCAAACTATAGGAGCAGTGGAAGAATTTTGATAAGAGAAAAGAGATGGCAACTACTTTTATTAAGATGCCGAAACCAAAATCACTTCCAAACAGGAAGGAGAGCAGGGTCCAAATAGAAGTCAGAACTCTAGCTACAGCCAATCTTAAAACATTCTGAAGAATTCCATAGTGGACCACTTGGAAATAAACCATTGGACAGATTTCAGTAATGTCTTCAATGGAACACAAATGAACATGAATATAGCTCATTTCTGTCAAGCATGTTGGGAAGTGATTTTATTTTTGCAAAATAAATTTTTCCTTCCCTAGTTTGATTCTAGTACATAATTGATTAAAATCTCTTGATTATAAAAGTTTGGAAAGGTCCTAAGGGGATCTACAGACAGACAGACATAGACATTTCAAAATTAATAACTTCTGATTAGTGTATTTCTTAATTTGGATAATAGAAATTATAACTTTTTATTAAGCCAGGAAACATGAAGCACCATTTGTTAAAATTCTCTTTGGTCATTGAGGGACCAAAAAAGGACATAAAAAGTCAATATGTAAGGAGTTTGTTTTCCTCCATAAGTTTAACTTTAAAACTGTATTTAAGGGGCCAGCCCGTGGCTCACTGGCTGAGCGTGGTGCTGACAACACCAAGTCAAGGGTTAAGATCCCCTTACTGGTCATCTTTAAAAAATAAACAAAAAACAAAAACAAAAACTGTATTTAAGGAATCAAATGTTACAAAATCCTAGATTTTGCTAATGATGTGGATAATTTCAAGGAAATTAATCAAGTACCTATTGATTTAAAAGTGTATTTTATTCAATACTTTTGGTGTCTTGCCATGGAAGATACTAGCCCAGCCTAGCAGAAAAGTGTAATATGTATAGCATACTTTGACATTTTATTTTATTTTATTTTATTTTATTTATTTATTTATTTTTAAAAGATGACCGGTAAGGGGATCTTAACCCTTGACTTGGTGTTGTCAGCACCACACTCAGCTAGTGAGCCAACTGGCCATCCCTATATAGGATCCGAACCCGTGGCCTTGGTGTTATCAGCACCACACTCTCCCGAGTGAGCCATGGGCCGGCCCATACTTTGACATTTTAAAAGTTATATTAATTTTGTAATTTGAAATGCTGGGCAAACTTAAAAAAAAATCCTACATGAAGTTATTTACAATTAATTTACAGTTAATCAAGCATTTTGAAAGTTTAATTGAATAAAACACCATAATAAGGTTGAAATTTGGTAAAATTTTATTATTAATTTTTACTCTACTGTGAAAAAGTTTTGTTTTTTTTTTGTCTTTTTTGTGACTGGTAAGGGGATCGCAACCCTTGGTGTGGTGTCACCCACACTGCGCTCAGCCAGTGAGCGCACCGGCCATTCCTATATAGGATCCGAACCCTCCGCGGGAGCGTCGCTGCGCTCCCAGCGCCGCACTCTCCCGAGTGCGCCACGGGCTTTTATAAGATATACACACCCTAGTTTAATTTTGTGGTTTAGTATGGATTTGCAAATTTACTACAGTTATCCAAAGCCAGGAACACCATCAGCACTCTCCCAAGTGCGCCACGGGCTTTTATAAGATATACACACCCTAGTTTAACTTTGTGGTTTAGTATGGATTTGCAAATTTACTACAGTTATCCAAAGCCAGGAACACCATCAGGTTTCAGGCCAGTTTGATACTGGCTGTTCTTAATTCTCATTAAGTATAGGACTTCAGACTAAATGCTATATCAGTGGGACCGTGCTGTCTGTGGAACTTAAAAATTACTCATTTTCTTCAGACTTGAAGGAGAGCAGTAAATAAAATTTGGAGTCATAAGATATTGATGTATAACTTAAGGATTAAATTTTATTTATAAATCAATTGTGAACAATGGGTTATTAAATTAAATGTCGACTTCCGAGTATAAAACTGCAAGAATAAAAGTAAGTTCTCTACCTTAAAAAAAAATCAATAGAACAATGTTCTACACTTTGACAATGGTCAGATCTCAGTGAGCATAAATTTCAGATTTGTGTATTTCATTGTAAAGAAATTAAACTGTAGTTAATTATATGCATACTGAAGTATTTAGAAGGAAGTGCATTGATGTCTGCAATTTACTTTGAAATATATCCAAAATTTATAAGGAACTTACCAATGAAAAATTAAACAACCCAATTAAAAAACAATTTGGACACCAAACAAGATATAAGGATAGCAAATAAGCACATGAAAAGATATCTGACATTAGTAGTCATTATTGAAATGCAAATTAAAACCACAAAGAAGTTTCTAACCATAGAGTATGGAAAGGGAAAAATCCTGACTTTACAGTGGAGAAATGTGGCAGACACCACCTTAACCGCATAATCGAGGTTAACATCCCCAGTGATAGGTCATGTTGGTATCATGTACCCCTGACAGGAGGGGATGAGAAGGCACGGCCCTCTGTGACACTCTTCCCAAATTCCATAACCCCAGACCAACCATGAAAAAAACATCAGACAAACCCAAATCACAGGACATTCTATAAAACACTAGACCATGACTCTTCAAAAATGTCAGGTCATGGAAAACAAGGAAAAACTGAGAAATCGTCACAAGATTGGAAGAGACTAAGGAGACAAGATGACTAAATGCATTGTAGGATATTATTGGAAAGACTGGTGAAGTTTTGATATAGTTCAGTAAAACTTTAAACATCATCAATGCCTGGCAAGGCAGAGTCAAGTAAAACAGCGGGGAAAAGAGAAAGCTTCAGGGCAGAAGCAGGACCACATTATATTATGGCATCTAAAGGTGAGATTATTTTTGTTGTTTTTTGGAGCTGGCCAGCACAAGGATTTAACCCTGGACCTTAAAAGGTGAGATGAATAGCTTTGGGGAAGACCTTGAACAAGGGATTGCAAGGAAGAGTGGGGCCCGCTGTTTGCAAAGATGCTTTGACTGTTCCTCCCACTCCGGAAGCACGCCCCAGACGGCCACCCTTCTCCCCAAGAGGAGAAACCAGTATGCTCCTCCCCTTCAATGTTGACTCGTTCTGTGATGAACTTTGACCAACAGAACATCGTGGAAGTGACACCATGTAACTTTCAGAAGGACCCTGATCTTGAACCTGGGTGTCTTCATGGAGTGGCCTCCTGATGGCCCCTCACTCCCACACTCAGGTCAGATCCTGTGACCCATAATGTAGGGCTTCCTGCCCTGGAGCTGTCGCACATTTCCACACTGCCAACAGATCCTAACAAGGGCATAAGGCACACCTCTTACATGTCACATCCTTTTTGGCATCTGGTAAAGCCTATGGACCCCTTCTCAGAATAATGTTTACTTAAATGCATAAAATAAGTTGTATAGGAAAAAAACTTTAATCAAATACACAAGCATACAATGGTGTTATTAGTTTCTTATTGCTGCTACAACAAATTGCCATAAATATGGTGGCTTAAAACAGCACAGATTTATTCTCTTACAGTTCTGGAGGTCAGAAGTCTAAAATGGGTTGGCAAGCCTGCGTTTCTTCTGGAGGCTCTATGGGAGAATCCGTTTCCTGGCTTTATCTAGCTTCTACGTGCTGCCCGAATCCCTTGGCTCATGGCCCAGATCACTCCAACCTCTGCTTCCTTCATGATATCTCCTTCTCTGACTTTCCCACCTCCCTTTTTCCCCTATAAGAACCCCCTTGACGACATTGAGCTCATTAGATAATCCAGAATAATTTCCCCACCTCACGGTCTCTTATTTAAACACATCTGCGAAATCCCTTCTGTCATGTTAGGTTCTGGGATTCACAGGTTTATAAATTAAGATAGAGACATTTGGGAGGGGGGCATTATTCTACCTGTCATAAGAGGAAACCAATTATATTGAAATAGAGTTATCAAAATGCTAAAAGCCAAGTTTTCATGCTAGTAACATATGTGCTTCTTTCTTGATCCATTAAACAGCAAGATCTCATGAAGAGTCTAATAACTGTCATAATTTTAAAGTAATAATGAGTGTAAGGAATACTTGAAGATAACTGCCAAACTTTAATGTGATATGAAAATAGCTATATTTTCTATTAGTGACAGTCATAGGTATCAATACTACCTACACTTATCATTAAAAGAAATATTAGCTTTTTAAATAGAAGTTAGCAAAAATAAATATGCACTTTTTTCTGATCCAGACTCATAGGTCCCCTGGTTAAGATCTCCTGTTTGAAGGCACTGGGCCCAGAAATGTTTGCATTCTGCTAAAGATCACTGACACCCTAAGAGGTAAGACACCAGTGGAGGGATTTCAGGCACTCTGACTTGCTGGGGCCCTGCTCCCTCAAACCACAGTGCACACCAGTGAGCAGTGAGAGGATGCAGGTTCCCTGAAGTGCCAGGTACCGAGCCAGGTACTTAACACACAGCACTGTCCTTGCCTCTCCCGCAGCTGCGAGGTGCATACTTGCATCCCCATTGTCAAATGGAAAAACTGAGGCTCAGGGTGAGAAAGTAACTCGCCCAAGTTCCCAGGGTTAGTACGTGGCGCGTTGACCCTTCCACCCGCCACACTGAGCACAAGGAAGGCAGCCCAGCAGCAGGACAGGAGGTCCCATCTCCCTCTAATTTACTCTTCCTAACTACCCTCTGAGGGTGTTATTTTGATATTTTTGTGTAAATAAGGAGGCTGCTAGAGGGCTGAGGACTGTCCTAATATCACAGAGAAGTAAAGCATGGGGGGATCAGAAGAAAGAGGCTTTTGCTGTTGATAAAAGCACTAGAAGCCCCTCAGGCCCTTCTCCCAAGCCTCAATGGAAGCTAAAGTCCCAGCTTCACAGGGCTCGGCTCAGCCAGGGCTTCAGGGCTTCCAGAGGGTTTTCAGAGGGCCAGGGCAAGCTGGCACAGGCAAAGGAAGGTGGGGGGCAGGGACAGGGGCAAGTGGGACAGCGGGCAGAGGTGGGAGCAGATCTGTGCAGCTGAGGGCAGGGGAGCACCGGGGTGCTGAGGCCTTACCTTGTTCTCACAGTGGATCTTGGCCCCAGAGTTGACCAGGATCTGGAGGATCCGTAAGTGGCCGAACCAGGCAGACAGGAGAAGCGCGTTCATCCCAAACTGGGGGAGAGGACACGAGAGAGGTGAGGAGAGTGTGAGGAGGTGTGTCCTGCCACCTGGGCCCTGTGCCCTCATAGCAAGATCATACAACCACAGGGACCGTAAGTGCCACTCAGTCCAGCGAATTCAAGCTTCAAGAATTTAAAAACCAGGAATTTTTTAAAAATAGAGGCTGATATTCTACTGAAAATGTTTTTTTTTCTTGCTAAATAAAATTTAAAAAATAAAACAGCCATCTACTCTCATCATCATTTCATAAAGAAGGACCATTACTAAAACAAAAGATTTGCAAGAAACCCATGTAAGAATTTAAAAACCAGGAATTTTTTAAAAATAGAGGCTGATATCCTACTGAAAATGTTTTTTTTTCTTGCTAAATAAAATTTAAAAAATAAAACAGCCATCTACCCTCATCATCATTTCATAAAGAAGGACCATTACTAAAACAAAAGATTTGCAAGAAACCCATGTCAGAATATATCCTTTACAAATACAGCTTCATGAAAAACATACTACATCATCCTTATTTTCTGATTTGCTATGACTGGTAAAGACATCATCCTGGACTGGCATTTGAGAATCAACCATTTAAATCTCCCATAAGACATCTTCAAGGCAGGCGGCCTGAGTCTGCAGCATTGCAGCACCTCACAGGACATCCCTGCACCACCAAACCCTGCTCACTGTTAGAAACTCCCCTTTACACTGAAATTTGCACGCCTGTGGTTTCCATCCCACCAGCTCTCTGGAGCAACGAAAACATGCCTAGTGCCTCTTCTGATGGCAGTCCCAAACCTGTTTGCAGGGTGCTCTTCCCAAACATCTGCAAAGTGCTCCAGAGTCACCAGAGTCCCTTCACTGACCTCAGCCACCATGGGGTTCTGCCTTAGAGGGCAGCCCTTGCCCACTCTTCCCAGAAAAGACTCTTCTCTGTGAAGAGAACCCCCAGGATTCCAAACTCACTTCCTGGAACACATCGACAGCCAGCCACCCTAATAACCACAGGCTGTCTGGATGAGAGAGAGGGAACGAATAAGCTGGCGCAGAGTCCAGAGGGGGAAGCTCATAGGAGCTTGGGAATGAAAAGAGTGAAGGCTCAGGACTCAGGGAGGGAGAGTGATGGGAAACCTCATAGTCCTAGACCAGCCTTTCCCCCATGCACAGTGTAGGAAAATAGTCTAAGTGATTTATTTTCAAGAATAGTGTATGAAAATAATCTAAGTGGTTCATTTTCAGAAATGACTTATCTGGGCCAGCCCGGTGGCGCACTGGAGAGTGCGCCGCTTGGGAGCACGGTGGCACTCCCGCCGAGGGTTCGGATCCCATGTGGAGACCGGTTCCCGCTCACTGGCTGAGCGCGGTGTGGGCACAGCACCAAGGGTTGCGATCCCGTTGCCGGTCAGTAAAAAAGACAAAAAGGAAAAAAAACAAAAGAAATGACTTATCTGAGGGCGTTTTGTTGAGATGGGTAGTTAGTTACTATCCCCTTTTGTTTTCTTCAACTTCCCGGAGGGTCGCTGAACAGAGAAGGCTCTCCTTGAAGTTGTAATTAGTTGCCAGCTCCTTCTGTTTTATTCATTCCCTGGTGTTTCTCCTTTCATAGGGCTTAAGTGGGCCTTTTTTGTGGGCTTGTCCTGAGCCCCCAGACAAAGGAATAACTTGCAAGGGGGTAATAAATCTTAGGCTTCATTTGGGAAGATTGTGCACCCTGTAGTACTCAGCCAATGAGGAAGTGGGGGGAGGGACTTGTGTACTAGGGAATAAATTGCTTGCTACTGCCCTTTTCCATGTGCCTGTCCCATTCACAGACACCCAGACTTGCAAGGCCATTATTAAAGTCTCTCTTCACAGTACCTCATGTCTCTGTGTCCATCCTTTGGCATTGGATGGGTGAGGACATTTCTCACAAATAGTTTAGTAAGGGTTGCTTGACTAACTTGCAGTGTAATAAGCCCTGAAAGTACTTTCCCGTGGGTGACTCAGACTTGCAAGGCCATTATTAAAGTCTCTCTTCACAGTACCTCATGTCTCTGTGTCCATCCTTTGGCACTGGATGGGTGAGGACATTTCTCACAAATAGTTTAATAAGGGTTGCTTGACTAACTTGCAGTGTAATAAGCCCTGAAAGTACTTTCCCGTGGGTGACTTCTCAAGATGGTGGCTGGCCACCTTGTTCTTTTTACTTCCTGGTTCTTCTTCCTCTTCAGGACTCCTGGGGGCCTTTTTCACTGGCTTATCCTGATCCCTTCCGTTTCCACCAGAGGCAAGGGGATAATAAATGCCTTATAAGGAAGTAATAAAACTTAGGTGATGTCCAAGAAGATTGTATATCCCATAGTACTCAGCCAATGAGGAACTGGGGGAGGGACTTGTGCACTAGGGTATAAATTGCTCACTGTAATCTTTTCATGTGTGCCTGCCATCAGACACCCAATCTTGCAAGACTGACATTAAAGTCTCACTTTGCCATACCTCGTGTCTCTGTGTCCATCCTTTGGCATTGGATGGGTGAGGGCATTTCTCACACACAGTGCCCAGGAACCATCCAGGACAGAGCCCTGGGGCATACCAGTAGAGACCTTCCCCCCAGCAACAGGATTTCCCTTCTCACTGTCTCTCCCACCCTGCTATTGCTACAGCAGGCAGGCCCACCAGGCCGTCTTATTTTTCAAAATGTATTTATTGTGTTTGCAAAGATGATGTATTAAAGGACTCCTTCCTACTGTCTCCTTCTTAGCTCCTTTTCTCACTCAGCCCCGAAGGAAGGAATAACAAAGCACAGTGGTGATAGTGGGCGTCTTTGTGGGCAGAGAATTGATGCAAGAAGTTCCAGTGTTTCTCTAGGAAACTAGGACCAGACATTCTCCTTCCAGAACCTCTTCTAAATGAGGACTAAGCAGGTACAGGGAGGAAGCAGATGGGCAGGGGCATGGGGAGGCAGCTGTCACTGCCCCACCCCAAACCCAGCTGGTAATCAAGCCCCCCTCGTGGTGGGGCCTGGGAGCAGAGAGAAGCCAGAACAAAGAAAAGTGTTTCCACGGACAACTAGGTCTCTGCAGGGAAATTTATAACTAAAAATTTTTTTTTAATTTAGATCCTTAAATGTATCCCTATCAAATGCCATTGTCAGATTCAGCCCTTTTCCCAAACCTGCAGAGATAATTTCCAAGGCCCTGTAATTCTTTAGTGTTCTCTCAGCAATGTGCCTGCCAATTTAAGTAAGACTATTAGTCTTTATCCAGGTTGTTGGTTAAATAAAGGATTAGCCAGGGCAAAGCCCTGTGGCCATATCCATGAGAGACTTTCCTCCTAGTGATTTACAAATCAGGCCTTCATGAATCCACCCAATTACCTCCTCTCCCTGTTCGCATGGTATCATGGGGGACTGAAAAGGCTTTCAGAACTGAAAGGCCTTTGAAAATGGAGAGATCTTCATCACCGTGCAAATTAACAATGGAATCAGTGCAGTGGCACTGGCCCCTGAAGACTGACTTCCCGCCCACACTGCAGGAGAACCTCTGCCTATCAGCGACAATCTCAGCAACAGCAACAGGCTCACAGACACAGAGAGATCTCTGATGCCCCTCCCCACCCTGAGACAGACAGACAGACAGACATGCACACACAGACATGTCTCCGGAGGGCCCCGTACCGCATCCTCATCGTCCACAGCGGCCCCGTGCTCCAGGAGCAGCCGCACAGCCTGCTCGTGCCCCGCGGCTGCGGCCCAGTGCAGGGCCACCCGGCCCACCTGCCAGGAGGGACAGAAACTTGTCAGGAACCACCGCCACCTGCTGCCTGGCCCTCCTCCCACACCCTCCCTGCCAGGACAGCTGGTCTGCAGGCTGGAAGGGCCTTTGCTGGCTTTGGTGACCAGCTGGCTGGGGACCCAGCCCCACTCTGTCCCTTCCTCCTCCCCCACATGGCAGCAGCCAAAGGCTACATAGTAAAACACAATGATTGGATCCATCTGTCCCCCATCTAAAACTCTTCGTGGCTTCCCACAGCCCTTGGGACAATCTCCTAACCCCGGGGCCTATGAGACTCGGCACAGCCTGGCACTGCCCACCGCTGCTTCTCAGAAACACCAGACGACTTCCTACCTCTAAGCCATGTTCCCACTGCTCCCTCTGCCAGGCAGCCATATGTGGCCTCGGATTATTCCCCACGCCCCTGAGGGGCACCTGAGTGCCCAGGTCCTTCCCTCAGAATGGGCTGAAGGGGCCTGACTCCCCACCCTGTTCTCAGACCACCCCGGCCGGCAGTGCATCGTGGTCCCCACCCCGGCACATCTGAGCAGGCCTGGGGGAAGCCAGCCTCTGACCCTTAGTCCACTTCCTCCCTCTGCAGTTTTCAGCGCATGAGAGGACAATGAAGGAGACACTAATGTTCTGTGTGGCCTCAGGCAAGTTCCCCTCTCTGGGGACCAGCTGTTCCTCCCTTCCTCAGGGCTCCTGCCCATGCTGTTCCCTCTGCCTGGAACTCTGTTCTTCTTCACCTGGCCTCTCGAAAACGTCACTTCCTCAGGAGGCTTTCCAGGTGGGGCAACCCCCTCTGACCCTCCTCCACATGCTCTTATGACAGCTTATCACAGTGGGAATGAGTTGTTGGGGAGACACGCTACTTAATACCTGTCCTCCCCCACCACACTATCAGCTCCATGAGGGCAGGGACAATGTCTGTCATAGGCTCCCCAGCACCTAGCACAGTACCAGGCACAGAGTAAGCCTTTAATAAATAGTGAAAGAATGGATGAGTCAATGGATGCATGAGTGAACGGGTGGATGAATGTGGGGTTAGCGTCCTACCATCCCACAAGGCCATGCGTCCTTGCCAGTGCTTGTCCAAGAGCGGAGACTGAGGCTTCAGTCAATGTCCAATGACATGCTGCATGACCTAAAGTGACCTGCTGCCCTTTCTGTGCCTGCCTTGAACTACAGGACTAATACTTCCTGCCTTCCTCACCTCTCCAGGGGTGAGCGAGACCACTGGGAAACAGGTGGACAAGAGCTCCGAAAATCAAAATGCACCAGACATATCCCAGAACTCGTGTTACTATTACTGTGTCCCAGGCAGGCTCTGAAGAGCCAGGTGGCACCCCTGGTGTCACCCCAGACAATGTAGCCTCTGCTTCTACCCAGGCCTTGTCACCTCTTCTAAGAAGCTCCTGATAGCCAGAAACCCCAAGGCAGGGAAGGGCTACCCAGTGTGACACCCAGGCCTATCCCCAATGTCCCCAACAAAAGGAATGGCTTCTCCCTCTGTCCCCTTCCCAGCAGGTCTGTGGACCACCGCATCTGTGGCCTTCCCTGAGGCCTGGTCAGTGGGGCTGGGTCTGCCTCCCTGCCTGGTCTTTGAGCCCCCCAAGGGCAGGCCAGGCCCACAGCAGCTTTACACATACAGTGGGTACAGCAGGCGCTCAGAGAGCTGAATGAAATTGCTGCCTCACACACGCTCAGTCTCCGGATTCTGGCCTCTCTTGGTCCCAAACTCCTGGACTTCTGACCCCAGGCATCGCTCGATCTTTGTCCCTGAAAGCACCTTCCCTCTTCTGCCTATCTGCCAGCCTCTGACTGCTGAGCTGTGACCCTCTGCCCTCCTGGCTCTGACCGTTGTTCCTTGGGTGTGCTTTTCAGACAGGCCACAGGGTTAAGGGTTTGATCTCTGGAACTGCCCAAGGCTGGCTTGGAATCCTGACCCTGACCTTGGGCCAGGCCCCAACCACTCTAAGTATCAGGGACATCGAGACAGTGAGGACAACGAGGACAGAGCCTGAGCCTCTCTCCAAGTTAACACATGCAAATATGCCTGCCTCCAGCTCAATGAACTGTCCCCCCTGCGGTGGTGTCACCATGGCACTGTCCCAGGTTCCCCTGGATTTGGAGGAGCTCATACGCACATGGTTTCTGGCCCTGACGTCAACCCTCCTCCCGATCAGCTCCTTCATCCTCTCAATGTTGTTCCTGCGGGTGGCCACGTGCAGCTGCCTCTCCAAGGTAAGCACTGGGGGGAGAAAAAAGGATATGAGGTGCCCCCCACACTGCATAATGAGGGCACTGGGAGAGGAGAGGTGAATAGCCATCCCTGCCCCTGCACATTTCCCTAGCGGGGGGTCTTCCAGCTAGGAATGAGGGGAGAGAGGCATGGCTATCCTCCTTCTCAAGGTCAGGGACCTCCCCACACAGGCTGCTACATGACCAAGATTTGGCAAACCCCTGAAGATGGGAGAGCATTGGCAAGGCCATCCACAGCCGCCCAGGTGTGTGCCCCTATCCTCCTTGGAGGTGTTCCAGGCTGGCGACATGGTCTAGGGCTCATCCCCTGGGCCCTGTGCAACCATGATCCTGACTGCTCCTGGCTTGTGAGGATATCTGGTCTCCTTGGCTAGACCAGAAGCTCCTTGGGGGCCCTGGCCACACCTTACTCTTCCTGACCCTTCCTGACCCACCCACAGCTCACAGCAGGCCCAGAGCTGGGCACAGGGAGGAATCCACAAAACTTTGCTTCTATGGGTGTCGCCAGAAATCCCCAGACTAATGGATGCCACACTAGCACAGAGGACGAATATTTGCTAGCCCTTTGCACAGGCATTACAGGGCAAATAATCTTGTGGGTTTATTGCTGCCAAAGCCACATTCTGCATGTTTGGTCCAGTGTGAATGTTTGGACCCAGCCCCTTTGTGTATCCAGGGACAGGTGGCCAGCATTTTGGAAGGGAAGGCTGGGACACATTGAAGTGACAGACAAGCCTTTCATGCAGTTTGTCCTCCCAGATAAATTCCACACAGCCTTCCACATGTGGAAGAGGGTCTTGGGCTTTCCAGGGCCTCATGAATACACCTATGGACCTCAGAGCTCCTGCCCCAGGGCAATCACATGGCCCTGGGTTCAGCTCTGACAGAACTACTTCCTGGCTGTGTGACTTAGGCTACTTAATTATCCCATACCTCAGTTTCCTCATCTGCTAAATGGGGATGTGAGCTGCCCTGAAGTGTTATTATAATGACTAGAAATAAGATATGAAAAGCCCCTCGCATAATGTCTGGCACGTGGTGCCCACACCACCACCTCCACCGTCCTCATCACTACTACCTCTCCAAGGTAGAGTCAGAGAGCAAATTCTGACGACCAAAGACCTGGAGGTAGTGCAGCCTCCTTCAGTTAGGGTCCCCTGATCCAGTGAAGCCCCAAACAAGGAAAACATCCTCCCTCCGTCCCTCCCTGCCTTGGTTTTCTCCGTATGCTATGGCATATGCTGTGTTCACATATTTATTAGGCGTATTGTCTGCTTACCCCATTACAATATAAGGCCATGAGAGGAGGGATTTTTGTCTGATTCATTCACTGCTGTACACCCAGATTCAGGCCCTGGCACATATTTGTTGAGTAAATGAGTGACACAGGACTCATTCAGTCTCTTAAGGGGTCTTTGAACTAGAAGATGTTGCCTCAATTAAGATTCACTAGTCCCCAGGAAAACCAAAATATGAGCTCAGGTAAACAGAGAAAGAGGCTCTGAGGGGAGACAGCTTCAAGTCAATACTGCAGGAGAGGGGGTGTCCAGGAGAAACACCACTGTCCAAGTGAGGTCCCCAATGGACAGCTCCACCCTCACCCTGCCCCAGAAGGGTCTGCCTTCCCTGCAGGTGAGGAGGGAACCCTTCTCTAGACAACAGAACAAGCTCTGGAAGAGCTCCTCTCGGATCAAAGCATCTCTGACGAGCACTGTGTCCTGAGTTTTCTTTCCTTAACCGCCTGGCTGAAAACCACCAAGATCCAGGTTCAGGAGGAGCTGCCACTTCAGGCGTGAGCTGACAGAGGCTTGGGTCCTAGGATCTGCTGTGCCACTTTCCAGAAGCAGGATCCTGGGCTAGTCATGCCCCCCTTGGGGGTCTCAGTTTCTTCACTTGTAAAATTGGGGGAGGGGGAGGAAAGGGATCTGTATAGATCCTTTCCAGCTCTGACACCCTCTGTCTTAGCTGGAGCTTAGGAGGAGTGGCCTGGTTTGTGTTGGTAAACAGCCAAGAGTCCCAATGGGGAGCAAGTAGACATTGCACAGAACCAGGCCAGAGAAGGTCAAGTCAGTATGAGATCAAGTCCAGTCTCATCTCTCCCATCCACCATGCCTCCTGTGCCCTCTTTCCAGCCACCTTCGATGCACACTGCACCCTCTGGCCTCTGAGCCTTTGCCCATGCTGGGTCCTCTGCCCAGCACTCCCTCCCACACACCCAGTGCTCCATTGCTACACATTCTTTACAGGCCCGCTCAGGTGATCCTCTGCCCCAGGTAGAACCCAGTAAACCCTTTGAAATAATTAGCACCTTGATCGAGCCCCCCACAGCTGGGTAGATACAGCATTTTGGACACTGTAGGTCTCAAAGGTGCCCAGTGAGCTGCACTATGGGGATTTGGGGGAGAGCCCTTGGGTTCAGCTGCCAGGGCTCAGCCAGGGCTGCGGGATTGAGGGCTCACAAGGGGAACACTGGCACAATCCTCTCCATCTCCCAGGCAGTGCAGCCAAAGCTCCCCCAGGCTAGCTGATGCCCACACAGATGCTGCCGCCCGGCCTAGAGGCTCTGGCACTGGGCACACTAGGGGAACACTGGCACAATCCTCTCCGTCTCCCAGGCAGTGCAGCCAAAGCTCCGCCGGCTAGCTGATGCCCACACAGATGCTGCCGCCCGGCCTAGAGGCTCTGGCACTGGGCACACTCCTTGAGAGAGGCTCTAAAGTGCCCTCATCCCACCCGCAGCAGGCCACAGCTCCTCTCCTTTGGGTTTTAATTTCCGCACCTGATATGGTCTCCAGTCCCCATCTAACCCCGATATTATGGGTGAGCTGGGGCCTTCAGCATTTCTACCGCTTAATGGCTGTGTGACCTTCCACAACTCATCTAACCTCCCTGTGCCTCAGTTTTCTCATCTGCAAGCACCTGATATGGTCTCCAGTCCCCATCTAACCCCGACATTATGGGTGAGCTGGGGCCTTCAGCATTTCTACCGCTTCATGGCTGTGTGACCTTCCACAACTCATCTAACCTCCCTGTGCCTCAGTTTTCTCATCTGCAAAATGGAGATAACAACAAGTCCTGCCCCTGCGGCCGCAGTGAAGATCAAATGACACGCCTGTCCTGGCTCAAGGCCTGGCACACAAGTAAACACTCAACAAAGGATTGCTATTACCTTGATTGTTGGTAGCTAATGTCCCAGCTGCAGCCCCGCCGAACTCCAGTCCCACGCGCGTGACCAGTGTCCCCTTGGCCTGATGCGCTACCACTCAGAGCCACAAAAAAGTCTCGGCACGGATGCGGAGGTCCTCTCGGCCTTGGCCCGCCCCCGGACCCCGGCCCCGGGCCTGGCTGCACCGAGGACTCACCGCCGTCGGTCTCCCACGCCGGCTCCTCCGCCTTCTCTCCGATCCGCGGCCCCTGCGTCGCGGGT